TWWYYTTTTTTTTTTTTTTTTTTTTTTTTTTTWWKTWTTGGCATGTTTTTGAAGTCCAGCAATAACCTTTTTTTTTCCTGCAACTTTTTTTTTTTTTTTTTTGAAGTATTGGCATGTTTTTGAAGTCTAGCAATAATCTACCATGTATCCACACCCCTCTCCCTTGTGTCAGTGTGTGTTTATGCGTTGTCAGTATGTGTAGGAGGAAGAACTACTGTGTTGATGTCACTGTCAGATTTGCATTGTCGGATTTCAAAGAGTCTTCTTCACTGCTCGTCCTGCAAAAAGAACGCAACTGCAAAAAAAGGAAAAGAAAGAGACTCTACCTCAATATCACCCTCGGTAATCAATGCATCTTTACTTCTTATTTTCTTTTTTCCATTTTTTTAAAGGGCGGCTACGGCCTGGAGGTATCATCGTTGGATCGACTGGCCACGGGGCAATTCAGAATGATTTTATTCTGGTCATCTGGTGACCTGCATTTCAGAACTCCATGGCTGTACCAACCGATGCACCTTTACTTTTCATACTACTGCTGCCAGCAAAACAGGATTACAGGGCATAAATATGAAAGAAATTCAAAAAAAATTATTCTATTGCTTTTATACAAAATCAGATGAGGCTGTCCCTCTGAGATTATTTGCATTTATTAAATTTATTATATCATCAAGTTCACTTATTTGACACTACCTAGGCTTCTCCTGTGGCTGTCGAGAGGGGGGCACGCTCCACTCCTCGACATTCAACATGCATTTGGATGCCCTTCTGAGCAGGTCCATCCAAATGCATCTTGAATGTATGGGAACAATTATGAGGTCCAGACTCTGTTGTATTGGCGCACGGCCCACGGCCTGTGAAATGTGAGCACTAGGACCATACAAGCTTTCTGGCTGGTAGCCACCCACTTGAGAGAGAACCACGCACGATCCAGCCTCTCCGAAAAAAATCAGAGGCTCGGAGCAATCCTACCAAAATGGTTGGCTGCGCCTAGGCCCATACAAGCTTTCTGGCTGGTTTAAAAAAAAAAACAAAAAAACAAAAAAAAAAAAAAGAGAGAGAGAGAGAGAACCGCGATCCAGCCTCTCCGAAAAAATTCAGAGGCTCGAATCGACCCTACCAAAATGGTTGGCTGCGCCAACCAAGACTATAACGAAAATGCTTGCCCCAGCCAACTTGAGAATCACGATCCGTCCTTCGGGACATCCGTTAAAATTGGAACGATACAGAGAACAAAGATTAGCATGGCCCCTGCGCAAGTATGAATGACACGCATAAATCGAGAAAAGGTCCAATTTTTTTAAAGAATCACGATCCAACCTCTCCGAAAAACATTGGTGGCTCGGGGCAACCAGCCCAAAATGGCCAGTGGCGCGCCAGCCAAAACCAAAACAAAAATGTTGCCTAGAGTTTCAGCAAAAAGCTTAACACGCAGCAGGAAACCGCCTGGCTACGAAAGAGGCTCGGATGTATATATAGGTCCTACGTTTCTTAGGCCAGAGCCGAACTGTTGCACCATCCATTGGCCCCACAGCCAGTCTCTCTGCTGTCTCGTGGCATTACATCATGTGAGATCCACTGTTCAGTTGAAGGACTTCGGTCAAGTGACATGCGATGCCATGAGACATACAGAGACTGGCTGGGCCCAGCAATGGTACCGCAGTTAGCTGCCTGGCCCAAAAATATTGGGCCTTGAAGAGCAAAATAATCCCTGTGCAGTCGTTCGGGACATCCGCTAAAATTGGAACGATACAGAGAATGAACATTAGCATGGCCCCTGTGCAAGGATGACACACATAATGGTTCAAATTTTTTCGAAGGAAAAAGAAAAAAAGAACACACACGATTCCTAAAACAATTTTTTTAAAGAAAAAAAAAAAAAATAGTTTTCAATTTTTCAAACGATTCCTGAAACAGAAAGCTCACAACGCATCACCTGAACTGCTACCGTCTTCACCCAAATAGAACCCCCGGTCATTATAGCTGTATTTGGCACAACTTTCGGCCCAGATACGGCGATAATTACCCGGCGTTCTATTCGGGGGAAGACGGTAGCTACCAACTCAGCAGAAAGCAAGGAACAGGTTAGATTGAACATCCCTTCGTATAAAGATGGAATCGTTTGGCAAATAATGGCGGCGCAACATCTCTCAGTCTTGAAACCAACTGATAACTACCTGGCACCAGAATGGAAAGACAGCAAACAAATAGCATATACCATTATCGTATGAAGTAGCATATAATACATATACGTCAACATCTACAACATATACGTCCCTCGAAGTCTACATAACTATTAAGCTCAAGGCTTACCCGAACTAAGCAGAGGACACCAACATTAATTAATAATAACCCCTCCTATCTACTGCAGACCGCAGAGGGCAAGGCCATCATCACCACCCTCCACATAAACCTTCCCCTACTTGCCAAGATCTGAGGACGGTCGGCATACGGGCGCCTGTCGGAGTTCACAACGGACAGCAGAGAGTCCCTGACTATCTGTAGTTTGGTGTCATGACGACGCAGAGCTGAAGATAGCAGACAGGACCTGCGAGTCTGTACGTATAGTTGAAGAAGAAGTTAGTTTCTTGATGACTCAGACAAGGAGATAAATCTCATCAACTTGATGACACAGTCCACGATGCAGAGCAGAAGATAGCAGAGAGGCCCTGCGAGTCTGTATGTATAGTTGAAGAAGATAGTTTCTTGATTACTCAGACAAGGAGATAAATCTCGTCTGTATGTATAGTTGAAGAAGATAGTTTCTTGATGACTCAGACAAGGAGATAAATCTCATCAACTTGATGACACAGTCAAGGAGATAAATCTCATCGAAGTTTTAAAGTTCATGTCCTAGTCGAGGAGATGCATCTCATCAAAGTTGGTGTCTTGGGTTTCTTCTTGGCAACGGTGGAGGAGATAAAATAAATCTGATCCAAGTTCTTCTTCGTGTCTCGGGTTTCTTGAGGACGCAGTCAAGGAGATAAAATCATCGAAGGTTAACAGCATATGCACGCTAGAAGCACTTTCTGTATGTATCTGACGGCAATTACAGCCCGACCTGGATGAATCTGACCACAATCACGTCCAGAACACAGTAGAAAAAGTCCCTCCTAGTGTGAGTACGCCCCCTTACTGTCTTGGCAACGCAGTAGAGGAAATCTCATCGAGAAGCCCGGTGCAAGCATCCTGCAGAAGATCCAGTACCCTTTCGAACCCTTCCCTGCCACCGTAATATGGGTCAGGCACCTCCTGCACACCCGTATGCTCCCGGCAGTAGGAGCACATGAGCTTGACCTTGTCTTTCCCGTTTGCTGGCAGATTCTTGTCCCTGCTCCAGGTGTGGTACGCTCTCAAGAGATCCTCATGGTTCTGCCTATCCATGGCAAGGATGAGATCGAACTGCTGGAAATCCGATGGCTTAATTCCCCTAGATATGGAGGTGATATCTATCCCTCTTCGCTTCGCCGCCGACCTCATTCTTGCATCCGCAGGATTGCCCTCATGGAAGTCTATAGTCCCTGCCGAGTCAATGAAAAACTGAGAATCCAGACCCTTCTTCTCCACAAGCGTTCTGAACACCGCTTCGGCACTTGGACTGCGACATATGTTTCCCAGACACACAAAGAGCACCGAGAACGGCTTCGATGGATCCCGTGCAGATGCAGACCTAGTGCTCATCTTGTCGGGATCGGTTGCTGACTCAGCAACAATGACCCTTCCTGAGCACGGCCGACGCCACAGGCCAGCCTCTTGCTGACAAACGCGCCGCTGCACAGCCGCCGCCGTATGCAGGCTGCTGCTGCTGACTCTGCTTCGAAAGAGAGGGGCAGCAGCACCCTGAGCGTCCGTCCTTTCTCCTTGGCAACCCCTCACCACCACAGGCGACAGACGTGAAGAGGCCGGGGCTGTTCTTTTTACACCTGGCTTGTCAGGGCACAAGGCAGAGAAAACTTCTCCTCTTCTTCGGGGGGTCACATTCCTGAAGCCAAGCGTTGACTGCGCTGCAGAGCTCTTGGCCTGCGAGCAGGAGGCAGCCAGAGACCGCTGGCGGGCGGAGAAAAGCGCAAGAAAGCGAGTGCTGCTTGCAACCTCCGCTGCCATGTCCTCCTTATATCCTCAGTTCCCGTCTTCCCACCTGCTTTACAGCACAATACGAGCAACAATCCACACATGTCACACTCCCAAGCGGAACCTTATCAGGTTGTGTGACACGTGGTCGAAACCTTATCAGGTTGTGTGACACGTGGTCGGAACCTTATCAGGTTGTGTGACACGTGGTCAGAACCTTATCAGGTTGTGTGACACGTGGTCACATGAGATGATAGCCCTGACGGTAGGTTAGCAATTGCAGCCCCATTCATGCCTAATCTAGACTGTGGAACATACTATAGCCCCCTTGCATTCATCAGACCCTCCTGCTGAGCAAGCAAATCGTGAGACATGGACATTGCTACCAACACTTCGAATCGTTAGTGGGTTTTACTCGTGACCCTGGAGAGAAAGGGAAAAAGAAATCGCAGAAGGGGTTAGTAGGTTCCTCCATAGGAGAAAAGAAACGTCGCCACACCCCTCCTGTCACCTAGTGTATGCTCTCCATGGAGTCGATGCAGTTGTTATTCCTTAATTTGGAAAGATTTTCAGAATTGTTCCTTAATTTGGAAAGTTTGTAAGCATCCCAATATGCAACACTTAAGAACATTTCGCCTCGTTAATGCCGTTGTTCCTTAATTTGGAAAGGTTTAATTTAATCCCCAACCAACTGCACCTGTAAGAATACACATACTATGTATAAGCCTCGTATTCTTTCCCCTCTGCACGCTCGGCATCCTTTTCTTCTCTTTGTTCCTTAGTTAGGAAAGATTTTTTTCAAAACCCCAATCTGCAACGCTTAAGAATATTTCGCTTCATCCTTTTCTTCTCTTTGTTCCTTAGTTAGGAAAGTTTTTTTCAAAACCCCAATCTGCAACACTGAAGAATATTTCGCTTCACCAATGCCGTTGTTGTTACCAAATTTGGACAAGTTTTTATTTCATCCCCAGCTGCGCCTGTAAATAGAATACACGTACTTCGATCAGTACAGGCATCGCCTACCTCTCTGCATGCTCCGCAGACTTATCTTCTTTTCTCTAGATGGTTTCCATTTCCCTTCTTCTTACTCCACCTGCTTACCACCCCTCAGTTTGCTCTCTTTAAGAATTACTTGCGCCCTACCCCTCTGCTCCTCTTCATCCTCTTCTTGCACTCTCCCGATCATCCTCCCACGTCTTCTTATTCTCCCTCGTATGCAGCCTTTCGTCTCTCCTCCTCCTCCTCCTGCTCCTCCTCCTCCTCCGCCTTGTGTTCCTTTCCTCCTATCCCTCCTCTTTCTCACCTGCCTACTCCTCATCTACCCACTCCTACTCCTCATCTACCGACTCCTCCTCCCCGTCCTCCTCCACCTCCTCCGCCTTGTGTTCCTTTCCTCCTGCTATCCCTCCTCTTTCTCGCCTGCCTACTCCTCATCTACCCACTCCTCTCCTACCATCCTTCCTTGTTTGGATCCTCCTCCTCCTCCCCCCCCCCGGCCTCTTTTGCTCTCTATCTTCTCCCTTCAACTTCCTTTCTTCTCCCGCCCCTCTTCCTCCATGTGTACCCCCAGCTTCTTCTTTCACCTAATCCCCTCCCCCTCTAGTACACTCTCTCCTCGCTCTCCTCTTCACTGCCCTCTCTCCGTGCCGCGCCCCCCCCCCCCCCCCCCCCCCCCCCCCCTCTCCACTGGATCTCTCCTTCGCTTTTCGCCATCACCTCCACTCTCTCCTTTCCCTTTTCCTCATGTGCCTTCTCTCACCTCTCTCCTCTCCCTCCATTCTCTTCCTCGAGAGCCCACTACTACAATTTCTGAGACCCGTGTGGTTACCTACCACAGAGCCTCCGAATTTTCAGTTCATCCATTGGATTGGGGCCCATCCGGTGGCCACATTTCCCACCCCCCTTCCATCTCTCCTTCGCTTTTCGCCATCCTCTTCTCCCTCTCCTTTTCCTCATGTGCGCCTTCTCTCACCTCTCTCCTCTCTGTACATTCTCTTCCTCTAGACCCCACTACTAAAATTTCTGAGACCCGTGTGGTTCCCTACCACAGAGCCTCCGAATTTTCAGTTCATCCATTGCATGGCCCACCCACCCTGCGGCCACATTTCTCTTCCATCCCACGGGAACCAGCCCATGGTCGCAGGCCGAACGTCAACAAAAACTGCCCCACGCATCCTTCCGTTTCCCTTCTCTTCTTCCTTCGTTGTTAGAGGTGTAAGAACACCGGAGCCCGTTAGATGATTATCTAACGGAGCCCGTTAGAGGATTATCTAACGGAGCCCGTTAGACGATCATCTACCGTGCGAAAATGAAAAAAAAAAAAAACACTGGCGCGTCGCTGCGTCTCCCTCCCAGAGCTCGATAAAGCGTTTCCCCTTCACACACAGGTAAGACAAGAAAAGAATATAAAAGATCTCTCTTCCCGTCAGATCGACGGCAAAGATCTCTCTCTTCCCGTCAGATCGACGGCGGCCGCACTGTCGTGTAAGTTCTTTCCTTCCCCTTCCCCGTTCAACACCGATAATGAAAGTGCCGTCGGACGCTGTCGGCACTTCGTCGACTGTGCGTTTGTCAGAGTGTCAGGGCAAGTGGAGGTTAGAGCCGCCGATGATCAAAACCCACTCCCATTGCCCTCTTCCCTCGAATCGAACGCGTATATGAAAAATCACATCTGTAAGGTATCCGACCTTCTGAAACCAGCCCTCCGATACACTAATTCATGACGTCGAAGGCGCGTTCTCTTGGGGGAATGACGGCGCGCATAACCACCTGCCGACTAACTATGGTCCTAACCAGAGCCGGCGGTTTGCCAAGGCGGGGGGAGAGGGGGGCACAGGTAAAGGAGAGAATGGGGATACTTTGATGGTAGGCATGTGTGCGAGGGGAGGGAGGGAGGGAGGGAGGGAGGGAGGGAGGGAGGGAGAGCGAGAGAGAGGAGCAAGCAGCAAAGAGATGCGAAGGGGACGATGACGAGAGGTATATGAGCAAAGCGAGAAGAAACATAGCCCCCACAACCCCGTGCCAGATTCCGCTACATGACCCCTGCTGGGTTCTGTTCGGGAAACAGAGGTAAGAGCGTTGCTAATGTAAAACGTATAACCTGTGCCAGATTCCGCTACATGACCCATGCGTTCTGTTCGGGGAAAAGGAGGGGATCGGTAGGGCGTCGCTAACGTAACGTGTGATTACGCAGTCGTGTTTAACTAATTGGCTGCATGCTGCACGATTTTATTTTTATTTTTTTTTCAGTTGCACGCTGCACGATTTTGCAGTAGACACTATTACTATTACCCTCCCTCTCGTGTAAAGCTTAAAGTGATGAATTACTAATAATGATTCCATGGATTGCTTCATTTGAGACCGTGAAGGAGGAAGTGATGGTGGAAGGTCGAGGTTCCAAGGATTCGGTTGTTCGCCGATGAAAGCGGTAAACTCGTTTGCCGTGTCAGACGAGTAAAAATAGCAGATCCAAAATGTGGGGACCACCACCTAAGGATCCCAAGTTCGGAATTGGTTTGCACTTTCGGGCGATCCGAAAGTGCAAACTTCGACTGTACCATCTTCAAAATCATTAATCGCGCCATTTTTTTCATTTCAGATCCAGGATGTGGGGACCACCACCTACTGTAATATTTTGAAGGTAGCGTCGTGATGTGAGGCGCACAGTCCTACAGTAAAATTTTTGACGGTGGTGTAGTGATGTGAGGCGCACAGTCCTACAGTTAAAAGTTTTGACGGTGATGTCGTGATGTGAGGCGCACAGTCCTACAGTAAAAGACCAAAAACCCTCCCGTGATGTGAGGCACACAGTCGTAAAAAAAAAAAAAAAAAAAAAAAAAGAAGAAGACCAAACGACCTCCCGTTGAGCCAGCCAGGTACATTTTCCTGGGCCCAGCAGAGGGAACTCGCGCGATTGTTAAGAGAGAGAGACCTTCCTGGCGATTTTGTACCTGCCAGAGAATTCACCTGGACATATACGCATCGCGGTCACAGATCATGTACCTGGCTGTCTCAACGTCCAGGGACATTGTGAATTAGGCAAAAATTAATCACCAACATCTCGATTTACCAGGCAGGAGCTAGCAGTTATCCATCTCCCTTTTTTCTCCCATCATGATCGCTTCTCCTATATTCGACAGATTGAAATATTTGTTGAAACATTTTTGTTCATTCACGATGAAAAAAGACAGAAAATGCCTTCAAAAAAAAAAAAAAAAAAAAAAAAGACGACGACAGAAAAAGTCTCTATCCTTCCCTCCCTCTCTGCCGCCCTTCTCTGTGTGCGTACGTGCAAAACGCAGTCGCTCACGGCCGTACTCACACTACCGTCTTCACCCGAATAAAGCGCCCGGTCATTACCGCTGTTATCTAGAAGACCGAAAGTTAGCCCCACACACAGCTGCTGTGACCGGGCGGGCGGGCGTTCTATTCGGGGGAGGACGGTGGGACATTCCCGACAATCTGTGGCCGAAGTTGCGGTCAGATTCAGTCAAAAAGAGCCCTCTTCTGTACAACAGACAAATAACACCATGTCTTGTCAGAACCTGGTCGTAATTGCCGTCAGATTCAGTCAACGCAGAAGTCCTCGTGGGAGCATTTCCCCGTGCGCAAGACAGATACCACCGCGTCTATGGCGTATAGCTCCTCACGCGTCCATACCTTAATCTTCCCACGGCCCTTGTACGACTCAATGTATAGAAATTCTTACCGTTCTATAACAAGGGTCGGGAGGAGATAGGGGTGCTCACCCCAAGGAAAGAAGAAAAAAAACACGAAAGCCCTAGACTGCTAGGCATTGGACTGTTTGATCAGCAGACCAGACTCGGATACGTACATTCCACTCAGCAAGCGACCTATTCACGCTGACCGGCGTTARCCGAAAACGAACCATTAGACAGAAAATAAGATGGTGATTAACAACAAAACAAGCAAGCTCGTTCTTTTATTCACAACAGATGATCAAAATATCTCACAACTGATAATCAAAAGCAAAAAGAGCCAACGACCCAGACCTCCTGTTCCTGATTGGTTTACAGCAGGCACGAAAATGGGGCCCGTCATCGGGATGAACAAGTGTCATCAGGGAGCTGTCTCTTATACACATCTAGATGTGTATAAGAGACAGCGTACATTCCACTCAGCAAGCGACCTATTCACGCTGACCGGCGTTAACCGAAAACGAACCATTAGACAGAAAATAAGATGGTGATTAACAACAAAACAAGCAAGCTCGTTCTTTTATTACAACAGATGATCAAAATATCTCACAACTGATAATCAAAAGCAAAAAGAGCCAACGACCCAGACCTCCTGTTCCTGATTGGTTTACAGCAGGCACGAAAATGGGGCCCGTCATCGGGATGAACAAGTGTCATCAGGGAGCATATACCCTTAACCACACTCACGATTCCATCAACCTCCCACTCACCGAGAAGAAGAAGAAGAAGAAGAAGAAACAAAAGGTTTAAAAGGAGTAGTAAGAAATAAGAAGAAGAAGATAGAAGAAGAAGAAGAAGAAAAAGGTTTAAAAGGAGTAGTAAGAAATAAGATTAAGAAGATAGAAGATGTAGATAGAAGCAAAGAGATGTAGATAGAAGAATAAGAAGCACGAGGCCAAATGCTAACAGCTCATGTATTGCTACGTAGCTCTCATCATGGCACCGACACGGACATAACAAGCGCAACGCGCACGCTCCCCAAGGAGATGAAGGAGGAGGAGGAGGAGGAGGAGGAGAAGGAGAAGGAGGAGAAGGAGGAGGAGGAGGAGGAGGAGGAGGAGAAGAAGGAGGAGGAGAAGGAGGAGGAGGAGGAGGAGGAGGAGAAAACTCAGAGAGGGCAAAGAGATGGAGACGGAAAGGCGAAGGTCTGTTGAAATTGAAACGAAAAGTTAGGTGGTTTAAAGCCAACAAGCCATGTACGATACGATGACGATATCAAGGCGTGAGACAGAAGAAGCGACAAGGGAGAAGACGATGAAGGGTAGAAGAAGGATGGAGATGAAGGAACCTGAAGAGTGGAACAACGAAAGGCCAGAAAGAGCGGGCGGTAAATTGATCAGATTTAGAGACGCAATCAGAAGGCGGCGCGAAGCAGGAGCAGGAGCAGGAGCAGGAGCAGGAGCAGCAGCAGGAGCAGCAGCAGCAGCAGCAGGAAAACGCCGACAAGACGAGCACAAGGCATACAAGGAGACGGAAGCCCAGTAGAGGTGGCCCAGCGCACCTGCGAACGGCCCACGAACGCACGCGTCGGTCCACGCCGCAGCTTCGACTGATGAGACGGCTGCTTACCGACCGCTAACGCATATTTCGGCAACGCCGTGTCTCAGGGCATATGCTCCCACTGGGAGTTTCTCGGCCGAATCTGGCCGCAAAAACGGTCCTGAACATCTCCCAAACCTACCCCCAGGCAAATTCTCTCGACCCTCAGGCAAATTCTCTCCCAACTTCTCCCGGTAGCGCGAAGTTGGACGGTGGTCCTCTTCGTTTCGTTCATCCTTCCGAGCCATAGGTAGAGCCTCGTTCCACACCACTTGAGTTCAAGTGCGACGAGAAAGAAAATCGTCGTTCCACCCCGCCCTAGAGAAATGGCTTTTTGTTTTCACATTTTGCATTTCAAATGGCCGCACTTGAAAGTCAAGTGCAGCCCGGCCAAAATCGCACTGGAGTTCAAGTCACCTCCCCGAGGTGCCTTGAATTCAAGAGCTGCCAGCCGTGTCGTTCCACCCACCCTAGAGAAATGGCTTTTTGTTTTCACATTTTGCATTTCAAGTGGCTGCTCTTGAAACTCAAGTGCAGCCCGGCCAAAATCGCATTGACTTACTGTGAGGGCAGGGGTGCACAGCCCGTAGTTCGTTTGTTTATGCGGTTCGGGAAGGGTAAGGTGGTGATTATGCTGTATGTATGTTTTGTCATGTTCGCTATACACAACTCGAAGAGTGTGTGTGTGTGGGGTGCCGGTTGGTGCTTTATTCACGATGTTCATGGGACGCTGGACCCAGTTTCCAGCAGGTGGCGCTCCCCATCAATAGACAGGAGAATGTGTGTGTGTGTGTGTGTGTGTGTGTGTGTGTGTGTGTGTGTGTGT